ACTGCGCATGCACAAGTAGCTCTGCGCCTCCTGAATGGCCACGTAGTCTTCTGGGACCTGTCACATGTCCCAGAAGACTACAGGGGGAGGGAGGGTAGGAGGACAACTTCTGCTTCCTGTCCCCTAGGTGATCGCAGCGGTAGTGGTAGTCAGTTTTGGTTACCCACTCCCCAAAGGTGCAAATCCTTAATGGGGAGCGGGGGACCACTCTTTCAAGCAGAACTTCCCTTTTTGGGTGGAGCTCCGCTTTAACAACCAGCTATTCACTGGTTGTTAAAGTGGAACTTCACTCTCTCAGTCATTATTGACTAGGTTGAGTCCTTATGCTGCTAGTATTAGTAAACAGATAAAGTGTACCATATTTATTTTTGTTTTAACCATTTTCCCGCCGCCCTATAGCAAATATACTGCAACACGGGGGCAGGGGTGTGCAAAATCATGTGTGTGTGTGTGTATATATATATATATATATATATATATATATATATATATTGGCCCTAGTATGTGAATGTATGAATGGGAGTTAGGGACTTTGGATTGTATGCCCCTTGAGGGTTAGGCACTGACATGAATGTACAATATACTGTATATATAAAGCGCTGCGTAAATTTATGGCGCTATATAAGTACCTGTAATAATATTTACTCGCCGGCACCCAGTGATCGAGGAGCATTACCGACAAAGGGAGAGTACTGCATGCAAACAATACAGTTCTCTCCTCCTCCACACTGTTTTGCATGGCACTGCTCATGCAAAATGGCATGGTCATGAAGGGGGGTAAATCTGGAGGGCAAGTGGTTAAACTGTTTTTCTATACATTTCTTCAGATACTTCCTGGTTTCCATTCCCAGGCAAATGGCATACATCCCATGAGTCTTGAGGAGCAGTTTTCTCAGCAAAGCACACTCTTCTGCTTGTATGCCTGAGTTAAGGGCAGATTAATTCCAGGAAGTAAATGCTATATGAATCATCTGCCCTTACTCAAGATGGCCACAGCCAGAAATGCTATGGGGAATTTTTCAAAGTGATTTCTCAAAAAAATAAAGCATGGAGAAATGCATGGATAGGGGAGTTTGCTTTGAATATTAAAAATGGTGTTTGTGGTGCTCAGATGCAGTGTAGTTCAACTTTAAACACTTGCTTACCAGGCACTTTATCCCCTTCCTTCCCAAATTTTAGCTATCAGCGCTGTTGCACTTTGACAATTGCACATCATACAACACTGTACCCAAATTAAATTTTTATTTTTTTTTTTTACAAAGATCTTTCTTCTGGTGGTATTTAATCACCACTGAGGTTTTTATTTTTTGCTAAACAGAAAAAAAAAAGACCAAAAATTTAAGAAAAAAAAAGTTTTAGTTTCTGCTATAAAACTTAGAAGTGATGTTTCTCCTTCACTAATGGGCACTGACAGCCAGCACTGCTGGACATTGAGAGCCAGCACTGGCAGGCAATATTAGCCACCACTGACAGGGCTACACTGATGATCAGTGCCCTGATGCTCAGTGTAGATGTCCCCTCTGAGGAATGCCACTTACTGTCTCTCCTTTCTTCATGCACTGTGCGAGGAGAGGACTGCTGATAACTGGCATTTCCTGTTTACACTGTGATTGGACACAGCTGATTACATGGTAAAAGGCCGATCTGATTGGCCCTTTACCTCGATCCATGATCAGCTGTGTTTGAAGGACACAGCAATCACAGATTGCACCTGGTACGTGGTTCTGGTAGGACATCCATGGATGCCCTCCCAGAACTAGCTGACTGCACTGTAGCTGTCTTTTGGCTATAGCTGTCGGCAAGTGGCTAAAGATGCCAGAGGTCACATTTTTCTGTCAGCAATGCACTCCCAAAAACGCAAGATTTTTTTTTTTCCTGCTCCTAGAAACTAAAGCTGCAAAAACACTTCTAGACTAAACTAATGGGCATGGACATGTAGGATAATACTATTTGCATCAACATGTCTATCTTTATGATGGAGTGGACTTCTTTCCAGATTGGGTATTTGTTAAAAACTGCCAAACTGTGACATGGGAAGAAAATCCTCCTGAAGGGTCATTACTACAGCTTTCTACTGGCGCCAACTCTGATCTCCTGCAGGACTCTCTGTACTTGAGTTACAGGATGCTGCTGTCCACTGATGTCGAGGCTGTGGCTGAACCATGCTCACTTGAAAGATGGAGCCTGCTCAATAGGGAATGGCTGCAGCATAGGAATTTCTTCTATGGGTGGGTGCTGGTAAAAGTGACAAGCTCTGGTAGTTGCTTTGAAATGTATTGGAAGCCCACCTCTGCAATGCACCCCTCTTTCATGAAGGTATCACTTCCAGTTCATCAGGGTTTAGTTCTGTGCTACAGATACCCCAGTAGTCAGTTCATTATCTCATCAATGCAGTATGGATGGTGACTAGGTCCATTCATGTAATGACCTATACATGCTGCAGTGCTTTGTAGGTTGCAAACTTACTTCTCCAGGGGCATGTGCCTTGTCAGTTGCTTAGACCAAAATCCAATTGGTTTTGCCTGCTGTCCTTTCTATTTATTTGGCTGCCACAGGATACAGAATATGGTACCATCTTGCTCCACTAAATCCAGCTGAAATGGTGCCCTGGATATCATGAATCCCAGCCCCTGGTGCTGCAAAAAGGCTTTGTTAGCAGCTAGAAATGTAGTCTACTGTTCAGACTCATTTATAGCAACTTTTTTCTGGTTACAGTGTACTGTATATAAGCCTCAGGCCCAGTTCAAGATGTGAAATACATGATCTCCAAGACACCACAACTTTAATTCATTTTCTTACCTTCTTTTTGGTAGTAGGTGGTGACAATGGCTGGACTGTTTGCACAACTGTCTCCAAAATTTTCCTCTGTGACCTAGTTCACATCTTTCCCAGCAATTTCACCTCTGTGACAGGTTCCTGGAGATCACGAAGTTATTGATGTAGCGAAAGAGAGATTTTCAAATACAGACTAAGTTTATACAGGCTTTGAATTTTAAGGCAGCCTCCTCCCACGCTTTAATGTGCCTGTAGCGTTAATGCACATTTCGGATGCGTTGCACAGTCTTTCAAGTTGTGTCAAGCAAAGCTTCCCAAATGCCCTGTGAATAGCGCTAAAATGGAAAGTGATCACTGGGCCAGGAAGTGTTTTATTTGCAGGATTACCAAGTGAAAACAAACCAAAAGAAGCCCGACAAAAAAAAAAAAAAAAACGAATGCAGCCACCACATAATCAACTAATAAGCTGAAAAATATAAATTTTTTTGTTTTGGATTTAGTTACACTTTTTAATATATTACCTGTGCTACTCTCTTGCAATTGCAAAATATTTTATTTGCTTTATATGTCCTTTTGTAAGAAATTTCTTATTCGAACATTTAAAAAAAAAAAGTTTCCTTACCCGCTTTGGAAAGTTTTTGCAAGTGTAGTCCCACTTACCAGCACTAAGCAAATGTCACCATTTATCAAACAAATGAAAGACAATTGCAGATCGCTATTGTTTACTGCAATTTACTTTATTAATTAAACCTGAACATGCTACTCCAAAAGTAGTTTTCAGTACTACTGGAGATTAAAGCATTCATTACTCTCTGTATCCTACAAAGCTTTTATACACTTTAAAAAATTAAGGTATTTCATAGCCTTTGCTTTGGAAGTGATTTAGTACACCTTTTAGAAATACACATAGACATGAAGTAGAAATATTTATTTCAGATCTGGTTACAGAGTAGCAACACAAATGCATGGTACTTTTCTGGTCAGTGATACTTTCTCCAGCGCTCATGTTCTGCAACAAAGAGAAATTATTTTACAAAATGTGAAACTCATTTATATCAAAAACATAAATATATAAAATTTTGTATAGATTCAGAAAAATGACAGGTTCCACGGAGAGTTCTTTTAGGCCTTACTCACATGTGCTTGGAGCCAAATCCAATATCCTGTGGGAGACTCAGCATGGTTTTCTGCAAACAGCTGCGGGCAATATTTTGACAGTGCCTGAAGCCATTCACATGTAATGAGACATGTAGAAATTACCTGCGGATGAACAGCCCTAAATACAGACTGTTATGGGTAGATTTACTTTACCCTTTGTGTCCAGGACCTATCATCCAAAGGTAACTCCTACATATCCAATTATATGTGAACAGCTGCAGGCACCATATGCCTCTCATTGCTTTGTCTAGAGCTTCCTGTCTACAGCGATTCACAAGAAACCCCACTGAATAAGTCTTGGACCCAAATGCACAAATTAATGAGGCCTATGAACAAACTAAGCTCCTCTGCGTGACCCCACTTGCCTGCCCTACATCTGTGCAGCTTTCACAGAATTTCCTTTCCCATATGACTGTAGTTAATGTTGTCAAATGGCTGCTTAGGTCAAGCACTGCATCTTGGCAAGAAGGGGAGAGGGTCACATGCTACCTTGTACTTACAAGTACTGGTTATTTCAAAGGGCTCCACTAGACCAACAGGAGGGTGGGGGAGCACAGTGAAGGAGAGTATTAACAAGAGGGGGCTGATGTAAATAGGAGGACCTATCAGTTTGCCTGAAATGGAAAAGTGACAAGTTCCTTTTATTAGTGATTTTATAACACTGACAGGGTCTCCTCATACAAACAGATTTGCTTTAACGACAATGCATACCCTATACTGTAAAATAGAAGCATATATTATGTAACCTGTGTAGAAGAACCCAACTTACCGAAGGAACATATTCAAATGTTTACTCTAGCACAATTATACTGTATTATTTATATTTACTGCACATAACACTGGGGTCCCAAGCTCAAATCCCACAAGGACAATATCTGCTTGGAACTGATATGTTACTGTGACAACAGCAGCAGCTGGACTTAGTACACAAAGCATCATCATATTACAAGTCTAGATTCAAGATTTGTAGCTTCTTTTCAAACTAAACATGCATGTGTTCTTAACATGCTGTCATTATAGAATATCAGGTAATATAAAATATCAATTATCAGTACACAACTTGTTTTCTAGTATAAATAGATGCAACAACACTTACTGATGTGATCATATTGCCAGATGTAGCTCACAGTTATATACCCAATAAGTACCATGGCAATGCCTCCAATGCCCCCCTTTCTAACATTGATGTATTTGTTATAATATCGATCATAACCTAAGGAAAACCAAAAACAAATATTATTGTGACAGAAAAAAAAAAAAAAAGTTTCCATAGCATTATATATTATATACATACATGAAGAGACATCAGCAGTAAGAGATATGATCTAATCCAGCCTCTCTCAACCAAGGTGCTGCAGCATCCTGGCTGAGAAAAGGCATTCAGATTGGACTGAGATCCTGCACCTTTGCTGAACTGCACACTGGCACAGAAGAAGCTCGATCAGGACAGTGAAGTCCTGAGCGGGGGGGGGCATCTTCATGTGCCCTGACCCTTTTGCTTCACCCCAATGTGCAGTGTGAGTGCTGGAACATTACTGCAGCTTTTAAAAAGGCCATCTCTGTGTGTGTATGTACATTTCTTGTACTTCTGAAACCTAATCCTGTACAGTCGGAACTGATTTTTAGGGTTTGTTCATGAAAAGCAATCCATGCTCAAATCTCTTTTCAGAGGCATTTGACAGACGATGAAGATGTAATATATTGCCTCAACACCTGTTTTAACCCCCTAAATGCAGTATCACTATTACCTGTGGGTTTTTCTTTGTATCCTGAACAATTATTTTGGCAGTTGTGGCTGCAATCCTTCTTGGTCTACCTGACCTTGGCTTGAGGTCAAGAGATCCCTGAACCTTCCACTTCTTAACGAGTGCTTGAGCAGTATTGACTGGCATATTCAAGGCTTTCGATATCTCTTTATATCCCTTTCCATCTATATAAAGTTCCATTACCTTTTTAATCATGTCTTTTGACAGTTCGTTTCCTGCATCTCATGGCTTATCATCTAGCCTGCTCAGTGCATCCGAGAGCTAACAAACTCACTATTTATACACAGACACTAGCTGCAATGTAAAAAGTCACATATGTAGAAAATTAACCTTTAATTGCCATTTTAACCTGTGTGTGTCTGTACCAAGGCCAAACATTCCAGGGTATGTAAACTTTTGATCATGGCCATTTGGGTGATTTCTGTTATGATTTAAAAAGGAGCCAAAAAAACTATGAAATGGCTTCATATGATCACTATCTTTAAATAAAAGACAGGTTTTTTTTTTTTTTTGCATGATCAGTCATATTTTCAATATAAATACCAAAATGTAATGATTTCTGCCAGGGTATGCAAACTTTTAAGCACACACATATACACATAGGGAAGCAATTAAAGTGCTCAATAGCCCATCTACACAAGCCCTAACAGCATCTCCCAGGTGAATAAACAAACATTTTACATACTAACCCCTTCTCACACCAGACAGAATTCCATTTGGAGTGAAATTACAAGTTGCAACCCAGTTGGGCAGCTCACCGATCTTAACATCCAGCAGTTTCCTCTCTGCCAAGGGTACTGAAAAAAAAAAAAAAAACAAAATTAAAAACACTTTTATTACTAGAGTAGACAAATTTCCTGTCCTGACAGGTAATGAATGGAAACAACTCAACCGTGACACAGGAAAACCTAACCTTTGCCTGCTCTATCCAAAACAAAAAGGAAATATGACTGGACTGGAGTCAGGCTTTAAAGATACCCCGTCCCAAACTTAAAAAATTAAGGCAAAAGCACAGACAAATTAAGAATTTTAAATGCTTACTTGCAGAGATTTTCCTTTCCACAAAATTTCCCCCCCCCCCCCCCCCCCCATGTTTTTTCAGCTTGTGGGAACATTTGGCTACTTCAGAAGAGTTAAACCCCTAGGCCACTCCCCCTTGCATGTCATAGCCCTCTTTTTTTACTGGGATTGTGTAATTACAATATGTACTGGCCCAAATCCCCCCTCATAGCCTTTTATATAGCAGGGGGAGGAGCGAAGGGAAATACTAGAGTGTTAGGTGACTGCTGACAACACATGATGGTGGTGACCAGCAGCAGGTTTAGGGGGAAAAAAAAAACAAAAAACAAAAACATAAAATATGTTAATTGCACATATCTTATGGGAAGATTTTTGTTGAACTGAATGGTCTATCAACAGGGTCTAATCTTAATACCGAATCTGATGAATATTAAACTCCTAGCTAAATTATCCAATCAGTCAGGCCCTTGCATTGGATATTTACTGGCAGATCTAAATGAGGTTGAAATGTGTGTGGGGAAGTTAGAGGGGGCTGTAGCATGTATTGAGAGCTAAACAGCTTAACACTACGTTCTCCCTCATCATATGCCTGAGAAACGCTGGAAGTTCTTACATTTGACAGTTGAATATCAGGGGGCTTCTTGGCACAGAAGTAGAGGCTCTGTATGTAGCCTGCGATACAAGGCACAGAGCATCCACCCTTTCCCATCATCTTACTTTATACCTGCAGGTGGACAGGACTGGGTTATCCTTACCATTTTAATGAACACTTGCAGGACACAAAGGGAGTTTCACTCAATGATGAATAATCTGTACACCAACTTCTCATGATTAAGTCCTGGCTTAGTTTATACACACACACACTTCTTTACCCAATAGACAGGGAAATACCTTAAAGTGATATTAATCCCTTGTTTTTTTTCTAATTAAGATGCTGATGGCAGCAATTTCACTTGTATTTTCTGCAGCTTTTTCACCAGCTGGGAGTTGTGCTATTTACAGAAAGAAAATTAGACTAGTGACAAATCATCATTAATTGGAAAGTGATTATTAGGGCAAGAGCATTATACATGTAGAAAATACACTGAAGCTTTAGCTACCTAAAAAAAAAAAAAAAAAAAAAAAAAGGATGGAAGGGAGGGGGGTGGCTAAAAATGCTCTTAGAAATTAGATGTGTAAGGACTTTAAGGGATGAGTTCACCTTTTGGCCAAAAATATTAAATGCATATTTGTTGCAGGTAGAAAAATGTGCATTTATTATTTTTGTCCAAAGGAGCCTGTAAAGCATTGCACCAGCAATCAGTAGATCGCTGATGCCATGCAGCTCTCCTGCAGACCTGTCAGAATATCTGCTTGCAGTACGGAATGTAAGCGCAAGTAGATATTCTGTTCTGACAGGAAACTTCAGTGAACTACCATGGCGCTCTGTAGTGCTGTGGTAATACATTGAAAACTACAAGCCAACAGCCGCTAAGGCTGCTGGGACTTGTAGGCACTCACAAAATACTGCAAATGAGTAACTCAGCCACGCTGTTTTCAAATCTGACAGATAGTATGGGGGAGATGGGGGGGGGGGGGGAGGGGGGTTGGCGGCTGCAGCTATGGAATATGTTACATGTTCCACCCTAAAAATGTGTACCATGTTCCCAAAGGTGAACTTATCCTTTACTTTTCACTGAGGCTGAGCCTGGTATGGAGCTCTTTAAAGTGGAACGTTAGGCTAAGGCATGAAAATGGGCACACAGACAGGATTTTGAATGAAGGGGAAATGCTTTGTCTCTTCTGCATGGAAGCTACTTATCTGCCTGTCCTCCACAGTACAGTAAGCTGCACAAACACAACTCACGGCACAAATTCGGCAATGCTGAATCTGACAGAACTCGCGCACATGCAAAGGAGTGACATCATCCTGGTCCGGCCAATGACAGTGGCTGGCAATGGAGATCTGGAAGCTGGCTGCCCGAAGATTTCAGTGGCAGGCAGTGAGTTCAGGGAACGGTACATCTCTGGATTCAAGGCGAGTATAGTTCCGCTTTAAGCTGGCCACACATATTACAATCTGAGGTTTCCATCTCTTTTAAACAAAAACTATGACATGAAGCAATACAAACAATATGATTAGGGCCTAGTTTACACTCCACCCCCCAGCTGCAAAGGCAGGTGTACAGGGATATACACATGGCGTAACGCAGAAATGACCCCCCTTGTCACAGGGAAGGCGATAGGTGTGTGTGCATCACCACTGCACAGAGCAGGGAAGTATGTGAGGTTTGTCATTTTTAATAAGGTTTACAATTACTTTAATGCAAGGAATGCATTTAGGTAAACAAAAAAAAACAGGCAGTGTGTGAAGGGGACATAACACCTCCTCACAACCTGCTGCCTTCTGAAAAGTGATGACATTTGGATTGCTCTTCAGCTGCTGATATGTATACACAGCCCCTTATATCAGCTGTAGGGAGCTTTAGTGAAGGTTGTGTACACAGACTGCAGCTTGTGTCCAGCTTTCTCCTTCACAGAGCCATGTGCAGGGAGGGGAACATGCCAACACCTCAGCTTTGCAGCTACAGATCCCCTGTATTTGCTCCACCAAGGTAAATGGAGAATCCACAATTATACATCAAATCGAGATTCTCAATCATGGAGATGAACCCTCATCCTGGGTAAGGACACTTAGCACCTCCACAAAAACATATATATGTAACCCTTCCTTCCTCTGGAATGAGAATGGAGGTGACCCGACCACAACCTCCAATACAACACGTCCCTGAGCGCCTGATGGCTGACAGCACACGTCAGCGTCAAACCTTCTTCACCCGACACCCTCAACCACAGACATACGGGACGTTTCCTCACCCAGCTTGTCCGCCATTTTGATGTCCGGAATGACACTGAGCAGAAGAGAGCAATCCCAATGCCAAGCACCGTATCCCCGCCTCTGACAGGAAGGAAGACGAGGCCGGGAACAGACGTCACTTCCGTACAAACCTTGCCGCCATGTTGCAGGTGGAAGAGTGTAGTTGTAAAATGAGGCTCATGTGTTTGTAAATGAATGCTCTAGATAGACGTGTATTTCCGTCAGAGACTTTTTAAAATACTCTATAGGTATTGAATGTGGAGGAGAAATGTATTTCAGTTCAGTTTACACAAACAGGAATTACCCACAAGATGCTTGAGGAAAAACCCATTGCAACTGCCTCATTACTTTTAGTAAATCTACACCTAACTCTTATGTACAAAGGATGGCAGTGTTGCAGTGTGAAATTCAGCACTAATTAGCCACTTGAGCTCCAGAGGATTTACCCCCCTTAATGACCAGGCTTCTTTTTGCTACTCGGCGCTGCACTAATTGAACTGATAATTGCGCAGTCATGCAATGCTATACCCAAACGAAATTTACGTCCTTTTTTTCACACAAATAGAGCTTTCTTTCGGTGGTATTTGATCACCTGTGCGCTTTTTATTTTTCACGCTATAAACAAAAAAAGGCCAAAAATTTTGAAGAAAAAAACAATATTTTTTACTTTCAGCTATAAAAAATATTTAGTAAACTCAAAGTTGGTTATAAATTTAGACCAAAATGTATTCTGCTACATGTTTTTGGTAAAAAAAATCCCAATAAGTGTATATTGATTGCTTTGTATGAAAGTTATAGCGTCTACAAACTATGGTATAAATACTGCAATTTACGCCATTTTCTGCTATACAGCGCTGCGCTAGTTTAACGGACAATTGCGCGGTCATGCAATACGGTACATAAATGAAATTTACATCCTTTTTTCCCCCACAAATTGAGCTTTCTTTCGGTGGTATTTGATCGCCTGTGCGGTTTTTATTTTTTGCGCTATAAAAAAAAAAGGCTGACAATTTTGAGGAAAAAGAAAACAATATTTTGGACTTTTTGCTATAAAACATGTCCAGTAAAAAAAAAATGCAAAAATCAAATTTAGTCATAAATTTCTGCCAAAATGCATTCTGCGACATGTCTTTGCTAAAAAAAAAAAACAAAACGTGTAAATTAATTGGTTTACGTGAAAGTTATAGCGTTTACAAATGGCGGGAAAGATACTGGGATTTTTAATTTTTATTTATACTAATAATGGCGCCGATCAGCGACATATAGCGGCAATCAGCGACATATGACGGCGACCAGCGACTTATGGCGGGACTGCGGGACTGAGGCGGACATTTTGACACTGGGGGGGAGCTGACTTGGGGTCACTGACATCCCCAGAGACACCAATACAGTGATCAGTGAAAAAAACCCACTGAAACTGTACTAATGTCACTGGGGAGGAAGGGGTTAACATTTTTAGTGTTCACTGTGTGAGGGGAGTGTTTTACTAAGGGGCGGGGGTGTGTACTGAATGGGGGAGGGAGGGGGGAGCTGATCGAGGGAGAGAAACTGTATTCTCCCTCTGCAGCTTGGCGGCGAACTGTCACAGAGCAGGCTGTGTGTAAACAATGCAGCCCTGCTCTGTTTCAGTGTTCACCGCTCATCGCGGGAAAACGGCCGGTAAAAACGGCGGCGGGGACCCGCTGCTGACACCCGCGGGACAGGTAGGGGCGGGCGCGTGCCTCGCGCGCGCGCCCCTGCCTGTTTTGTAGGCACACATTTTAAAACGTGCTTTTGCCTACGAGCGCCGCCCTGCCACCGTTTATATGCGGTGGCTGGGCGGCATGTGGTTAGAGAAGATCTGTACAGAAAACACAACAAATATAACACCTGTACTGCATGTTGCCAATGTCCTCAATCCCCTACAACTGCCTCACACAAAACAGGATTACATTCACACTATGAAATA